TGGTGGCTCGAGTCCTGCTAACTTGACCCCTCACATCTGCCCCATCACAGAGCCTGCGATCAAATTAGCGCTCACAGCCAGGCCTGTGAAATACTGTTACTGCCCCACATTAAACACTGTCTGGAGTAAATATACGCTTCCTCACGCCGTAAGTTTTTCTAACTTTGACATTTATGTTGGAGTCCCATCATGCATTGATGCAGCTGATGCTCACATCAGTCTTTGCTCTGGGTTCCTGAGACACAAAAAGTGGGGTGGCTGTGGCTTTAAGGGAAACGGAAACCATTGATAGCTTTGCAACTGAGATCTCATTGATATTAAAAGCAGAGGGCAGATGGATTTAATGAGAGTTATTATTCAGGCCTAAAGTCATGCCATGCCTCAGTAAGTGCACTGAGAGAACAATGAGATATTTATGAGAAGTCTGGTAGTTATTGCACTGATGGCTTTATTGTTCAAAAATTGTAATGATCCAATTATTGATCCAAATTGTAATGAATGCACCAATATTTATTGTTATTAATGAATTACCACATTTAAATGCAAAACTCTTATGTAAAAAAAATCTTTTTTTTTTTTTTTTTTGTTGTCTTGGTTCTGAATCCAGTTATAAATAATGATTTTTCTCTGTAACGATTTTATTTTGCAATGTTGAGGAAACAAGAATAGACATTGATTTGAAAACACTACCGTTCAAAATTTGGGGTTGGTATGATTTCCTTTTTTATCTCTTATGCTGAGAAAGGCTGCAATTATTTGAAAAAAATACAAATAAAATATTATTATTACAATTTTAAATGGTTTTCTATTTTAATATATTTTAAAATATAATTTATTCCTGTGATGCGATGCTGATTTTAGTCTTGAGTGTCACATAATCCTCCGGAAATCATGCTGTGCTGATTTGCTGATCAAGAAACATTTCTGATTATCATCGATTGAAAAGTTGCAAAATTTTGAACTGCAGTGTACACTGTAAAAATGAATATGCTTTATCTAATCAGCAAAATTGTGGCAACAGATTACAAGCAATATTATTAATTCAATTGCACAGATTAGAATTGAGTAATAATTAAAAGTTAACCATTTAAAATGAGTAAGGTTTACACCAAAAAAAATAAACAAAAATATCTGAATAACAGACAGACGTCAAAGATTTATAAAGAACTATTTATTTTAAATTGCCAACATTGAAGACACCTGATGTTAACAAGCAGAATCACCGAAGGCAGAAAACTGTCTAAAACACTAAAACACTGATCACCATAATGGTGACTTAAATGTACTTTTTAAAAAAGGTTTACTCATTTTAAATAGTTAACTTACAAGGAATTAATTTTTGTTAAATTGAATTAATAATATTGGTTATAATCTCTTGCCACATTTTTTTTTTGATTAGATAAAGCGCATTCATTTTTACAGTCTACAATAATAATAAATGTATTTAGTGAGGCTGAGGCATGTGTAGTGTTCCTCCATAGCCCAGGCTATACCCAAGCGACATGGAAACCACGGATAATGTTAAAATGATCACAAGAAAGAATGAGTCATGTATTTGAAAGATGATTGCCTACAGAAAGTAAGTCACACTGATCTTCTTGATGGTAACATTTTAACATGGCAAGGTGACTCTGACAATATTGGAAGAATGTAGACAATCCAGAACGTTAATAAAGGAAATTCATAACAATCATTGCTTGTGGAATATGGAATATAATCTGTTATGGCCTTAAACCTTCAATCTATTAATGAGGGCTGATTCTCCTCTTCATGTGCTTCAATTGAAAAGAGACTTGTTGTTTTGTTGTATTCACGTTTGTACGATGATTGCATCTAGTACTGGCGAATTTCCCTCGGCTTGTCTACAAAACTAGCACAAGCATATATGGATCTGTATTTTATTAGTTCTGAGTTCTCATCTTTGATGATACTGCGGTGAGATGATGGACTGAATGGACAGTCTTCTCTATGTTCTTTTACTGTAAAGTAGCTTCTGCAGTGGACCATCAGGTTGTGTACACGTCACACTCCACTAGAAGCTAATAAACAAGATGTAGAGACGTCTCTCGAAGCCCTCAGGATCCCTCGAAACACTGCGGGTTGGATGCAGGACTTGTTTGCGTGATGTTTCTGCTGAGTCATCTTCAGTAGTTTGATTCCCGGAGCCGAGGGAAGACGCCGGGGCTGTTTAGTAGAAAATGTCTTGCAGTCTTTCAGGTTCTTGGTTTGATAAATAATCGAGTGAGTGTTTCAGTGATGGCGCTGTAACGCAGGAGGCGGTGTCCTTCATGTCAGCCTGGCAGTCGGTTTCCAGTAGTATTTTTATACTTTTGAATAAAACCTTTTATATGCTGTGCAGAAATCATTTCATAATAGCACCTCATAAAAGCACACTGTAGAGAGCCCTAAATGGAGGTCTGGACTCCTCATGCCAGAACACATTGCAATAATAAATGTCTCTCAGATTTTATCTTCTAATAATGGAACCCGACATGCGCCGGAGCCGTGTGTCAATGCCCGACGTTAAACTCACCGGCATGATGCTTTTCTATGTGGGACGCAGAAAGAATTTGTTCAGCGTTCTCTTAAAGTTCTGGACTCTGACCACCCGCTGGAACCACAAAGCCCAAAAGATAGAAATAAATCAAATATCTGGAATAGCAGAAAGGTTTTGTTCACACACAGCGCTTTCGAGATGGACCCTCCAGCTCATTTGAGCATTAAATACCTTTCAGTGTTTCAAAAAAACTCTTTTCTGTTTCACACATGAGTCTTTAGCTCTAAGATTGCTGACTAGCTATATAATCACAAAATATGTATTTATATACAGTGTACTATATATATATATACAAAATGCAACTTTTTGTTATTAATACAAATTATATTTGTTGTGTGTCATGCACATTTTTCCCCCATTTCTCAGTTGTTTTGTAGTAAGTAGATGTAATCAAAGGCTTTATTACACGTTTACTGTCTCTGTTCTAGTTTGATATTTGACACAGAAAAGATAAATCAAGCAATGTCCATTTAAAAAAAAAAAAAAAAAAAGGAATAATCCAAAGTTGGACAGGAGAGATGTCCTCTCTGTCCTGTGCAGGGAAGGCCTGACAGGGTCGAGCAGTAGAGGGCACTCTTTCTTTATCTGCCGTTTAACCCGTCCTCTCTTCAGACAGACAGCCGGCCTGACGCTTGCATTTTAACACCATCCTGAAGTTAAGCAACACAGAAAGATTTGTTTTAGCTTTAACTCGGGCCCCCAGTGGTCAAACATCCTTGAAAATATGCATCTTCCCCTAGAACATCTGGTGCGGAGCCAAAGGCGAGATTCAGCCGGCCTGCATTTTTGCATAAATAATGTTTTTCCATACAGCTTTTAAAGGGTGGCAGAGAAATATGTTCCTTCTGTCATTCTGAAACACTTAGCCATCCCAAGCCCGTCTTTCCTCATCCGAGCTACAAAGGCAAACGGCGATCTAACATGATTGATTCCCCCGACGTGCCTCGACCTCAGAGTCGACCAGCAGCGGACGGTGGAGGGGTGAAGGGGGGCGACGGGGCTCTTCTGCCAATTATCTCTGGCTCTGGGTGATCGTGGGTGATCTCCGGCTTGGAAGAATGTGTCTGGCAGTGTAGCAGAGACTAGATGAGTTGCGTCACCTTGCCGAAGTTTCCCCCGAGCCACTGCCTACCAGGACAGGATCTCGAGTCAGGAAAATAGATTACAGACAAGTGCTCCATTATTCCCTCCCGTTGCAGGTCTGCCACCAGAGGAAATATGCATATCTCACATCTCTCCAACCACAGCAGTTTCCATTTTAGCATAGATGTGGAGGGTGAGAAATGAGAAGGAACGTACGGTTACCTCAGGCTTTTTCTCGTAAAGTAGCACAATTGATATCAATTCCACTCGTCGATTTCTGTCTCTTTCTAGTAGTCGAGCTGAAAATCATCATTTGTGTTCGTGGACTCGTCGTACTTCCTTGATTTTTGGAGCTTGGCTATGAAAATAACGCTGTAATTAATAGTGATTTGATGGCAGATTATTGCGCTAACCGGCCTAATTACAGGAGTGTGTCCTGCGAGTCCCAGAAGGGATGAATCGTTTGACTGAAATCACAATATTAGATCAGAGACCTGTTTATGAGGCATTAAATGAGTCTGGTTCAGTCTCACTCACACACAGTCACACACTTGTGAGGATTTGCTTGTTTGGTTCACACTCATGGAGGTTGTAAAAAAAAAGTGTTGAAATTTAACATTTTTAACATAGACTCTCTGGATGCGACTTTATACGTTTTAATATGTATTGTTGTTTTGATGATTGCAGTGTTTCTAGCAAGTAAATAATAATTAAAAACTGTACACTCTTTGTAATTATTCTCAAAATTCGTTTTAAATATAATTTTAGGTAAAAAAAAATGTTTTATTTTTCAAATATAATGTATTATTAATTAGATAATGCCAAACGCCAGGTTTGATTGTCCCGCTCGATTTTTTTGTCTTCATTATATCAAGTTATTTTTCACTTTATTCCTCTCCTCAAAATGTTATTGTTAATATTTGAATACATTTATAGATACGAAAAATGACAATCATGTCATTGACATCAATTCCGACAAATATCTAATAATTCATAAATACACTGAAAACAATTAAGCCTTTTTTTTGATATTTACATGTCAATTAATTGCAAAAATCCAATTGAATTGAATAATCCTTTCATATTATGAAGAAAACTAGAGCCTAAAAACCCATTTTATATAAATCGTTAAGCATATATATATTATTATTAAAATAGGAATCATAAAAACCTTCCATTAAGATAATATGGAGATCATAATATGTAAGGATCACTCAATTAAATTTGATGTAATTATACTATTAATTTGACCAAAAAAAGGGTTAAACATGTTTTGACTGTATAATGAATTGTTAATTACATAATTTCAACCACAACTTGAAAATAGCTCCGAAAAGTAATTTCCATGCCTCTTTTTCAGACCCCCAGACCGCTGAACATTATCAAGCAAAACAACGGCGAGCAGATCATCCGTCGACGGACACGCAAGCGCCTGAACCCTGAGCCCGTCCCGCAGGAGCAGGTGGGGTCCAAACAGCAGCGGGTCAACAGCGAGGAGCGTCTCAACGGAAGCCCGTTAGAGAGGAGGCCGGAGGAGCCCGGATCCGACGGGTCGTTATCACGTGCCGAGGCCCAATCCCAGCTGGCCAAATATGAGTCTTATGCTCCTTCAGGACCCAAAAGTCACCCTAGCCCCCACTCGACCCACGCGTTCCTCGTCAACCAGACGCTGGAGATCCACAAGCGCATGCCGCCGCTGCATATGCACAAGAGTCCTGCGGATGGAGGGGCCGAGGGGAACGGGCTTGCATCGGGTCCCCACGTCGGGGACGGTAAGGGTGGCTCAGAGCGGGGCAGTCCCATCGAGAAGTACATGCGCCCATCAAAGCAGGCCAGCTACTCTCCTCCCGGGAGTCCCATCGAGAAGTACCAGTACCCGTTCTTCAGCCTCCCCTTCCTCCACAACGACCTGCAAAACGAGTCGGACTGGGTGCGCTTCTGGACTAAGTACAAGATGTCAGTGCCGGGTAACCCGGGCCATTACCTGAGCCCTGTAGCCGGCCTTTCCAATCCGTGCCAAAGCTTCGTGCCTTACCCTGCCTTCAGCTTACCTCCTCATTTCCCCCCACCGACCCCATCCGGTCCCGAAAACGACACGCCTCTCGACCTCGCCATGAAACATTCCAAACCCAATCCGACGCCCAACGGGACCCCCGCCGCTGAGAAACGAGCGTCGCCCGTGTCCGAGACGGAGGAACCCGAAGGGGAACGATCTGCTTCCCAAACCCCCAAACCGGAGAAGGTGGATCAGGCCACGCAAGACGAGCTCTCGAGTAAATGTGCCCACTGTGGGATCGTGTTCCTGGACGAGGTCCTGTACGCCCTACACATGAGCTGCCACGGGGAGAGCGGGCCCTTCCAGTGCAGCATTTGTCTGCACTCCTGCTCCGATAAATACGACTTCACAACCCACATCCAGCGAGGCCTCCACCGGGCCGTCCCCGAGGCCAGCGCCGAACCCTCCAACCAATGAGTCCCAGCACAACCAATCCAATGTGCCAAGACGGATCGAGGTGCCTAATGCTAGCGTTTCTGTGGGACACACACCCTTTTTAAAGACTTTTTGAAGACATCGGTACATGTAGCTACTCGAGATATATTTTCGTTACTCCAGAGACGTGTAAGGCAGTTCAGCAAGCAAGGTACATCCACTCGATTTATGAAATGTTCTCTTATGAAAATGAGGATGTGTTTCTGCATGTGTGGCTCAGTGTAGGAAACAAACAGACATCCAGCATCCTCAGGGAATGTGTATGGCGTAATATAGTTTATAGTTCACATACTACATGTTTTTCTTGTCACAGATTTCCATCGGGACTTTAAAGCTGCTGCCTTAGTTGCTGGGATGCAATTCTTATTATCCTAGAAGTTTGGGAAGGAATACAAAACCTATTTTTTTCTAGGTTGTTAATAGTAAAAATCACATTATCAGTGCCTGATATATTGTACAAAGTATTTTCTACATGAGATGTTGATATGCATCTGAATAAGGGCCTGGAGTTTGGCTCTGACAAACGTTTACATTTGCAAATGTAGCAAACGACGTAATGAAGCAACGCCTGAACTTTTTCTCTCTTTTTTTTTTTTTCCACGAAAACAGTAAGACAATTCAGTTTCCTTTCCTCCAAAGGTGGAATATTAAACAAAAGTACTATGTTTGTATCTTTAAGGGCACTATTCATTCCAAGCTCCGTGTACATGTGCTCTGTAGTTGATGAAGAAGCTTCTTGTATTGGACTGAAGTCTTCCCGTATTTTTCTCCTGCGAACATTCAAGGGAAGCCGCTTTAGTCGGTCCTTTTATAGGAGCCAGTGCTCTATAATATAAGAATAATAACTTTCTGCTAGTCTAAATTTATCGTTCCACCTTTAATTCTAAAGAGAAGTTGAAATGATTCTGTCGTGTTGATGAAACTCAATAACTGCAGGTGTTTCTGGTGCCTTTCCGCGGCAGTCGTCTCAAAGAGGCGTAACGTTATTTATATTGTCGTTTCACCCAGCTGTACTTTGGTTTACGCTCCTTTTGCAATGTTCATCACGCGGAGTCGAGTGGACGAGTAATAATGAGCAATCCAAACGTGATTTATCGAGTCTATAAATCATCCGCAGAGTTTATTTGAAAATGGGGGAAATATCATTTCAGATTCTGTTTTTGTTTGCTTGCAACTTTGTGTTTTGTTCACTGCTCCTCATGGCCACAGGTTCGGTGAGTCACTGCTCTGACTTACTCAGACAGATATTATTTATATGAACTGGGGAAAAGAGGAGAGATCGAGGCTCAGAACGTCTCATTTGCTCTCTCCGTCTTTCTCCGAAACTAGCCTTACGACGCTGCTTAACTGCAAATGCCTCTTAAAGATAACTGAAATCATTATAAACCGTCGCTTTTCAACAAACCATGTATGCAGTTGGGTATTAAATAACATGCATTTTTTTTTTGTCTCTAAATGTTCATTTTAATTTGAAAATGTTAATGCTTGCACTTCAGTTACTCTGTTGCTAAAGAAAGATGAGATGTGTTATTAGCATGCTAAGTACAGGTACTGCATTATAATAAATGAACGAGATCTTGCCGCTGTTCGAAGGTCTTAGCAATATTGAAACACAAGGAGTATTTGATGGTGCCTGGAAGCTTGTTTGGTCAAGGTGAAGGGCATAAATATGTAAATGTTTTAACCAATATTCTTAGAATGTTATTGTTTTTACACTTGCTGCATATAAAGTGCATAGATGATGATTTTAGGATATTCTTTTTTTTTTCAGCTGCCACCTTAACTTTTTGTTTTCCCTTTCTTTCATTTTTTTTTTTTTTTGTGTGTGTGGTAGGTTTTTACATGCAAACAGATTCAATAAAGATGGCAAAGATGTCTGTTACATCTAAACTTGAATAATAATGATGATGACGATGATAATAATAATGATAATAATAAAATAATAAAACATTTTAGCAATTATCTGTGTACATTATTGTGTATCAGCAGAATGTGTTTTCTTTCGAATCTTTGTAGTTTGTAATAATTTCTTAATTTGATTAATTCCGCAATATTGTCAAATGTAATATTTCCATTTAAACTAATGGTTTTTTCTATTTTATTATATTTGTAAAAAAATATATATATATTTATACCTTTATTATATTGTAGAAATCACTCTCAAGAAACATTTATGATTATTGTCAGTGTAGAAAAACATGATTTTGTTTTTAATTTATCTGGATTAGAAATATTTTGTAACATTATAAATGTACTGCCACTTTTAATCACATTTATGCATTTTGCAGATGCTTTTATCCAAAGAAACTTACAATAGAGGAATATAAGCAATTCAATCAATCCACACATACATGGATATTGCACAAATGAGTTATGTACATAGGTTAGCTTTTCTATTAATTTATTTAAAGAAAATTAAAATGATGTCATTTTGATGCCAGCTCTATTGATAATTCTGTTCAGTCAGGAGAGCTGGTCAACCTTTTGACGGTTGATCAACTTTAGTCGGAGGATTGTAATCCCTGTGCTTGCCATGTCACATGACACACACCGAAGGTAACCTCTGACCTCTCAGTGCTATGACTGAGGAACTGCTATTGATCACGGTCCAATAGTGCTTGTTATATACAGTCATTCAGGGCAGGATTCAGTCTAAAGCACTGAAGGATACAGCGTTACGCTTTACACAGTTTAACTGCATGTTTATCGTTTATCAAAGTCAAGACTTGTGTTTAAATATTCAAAGAAAAGGGTTACATCCTGACAGCTGGCGTGTGAAATCTCAAAGCTCTTGCAGGTTATGAGTTGAGCTAATTCAAGTAAAAAAAAAATGCTGTAGAAGCAATTACAAAGATATGGCAGGCAACACATGGAATTAAACACAAGCATTTTCTCCAATGATCTGTATTTTGTTTACAACTTTGAAAAAAACTGTATTTATAATGCATAATATACAATTGTTTACATATACATAACTGTTTGATATAATTTAAATATATACCATATAAACTTGCTATTATTAATATGAGTTGAGCAAACTTCAGTGAATTATAAAAAAATATATCCATAAAATATATCAGCCCATTCTCACCCCCAAGGCGTCACTTAACTGACGCCTTGGGAAGCATTTGGACATGCTTCAATATCTGACGCTTTAGGCGCCCTTTAGCGTCAGTTAGATGACGCCCTAGGATCGCGTGTACCCTACCCCCACCCCACACCTAAACCTAACCGCGTCCTCTAACTGACGCTTTCCTTTAGCGTCAGTTAGATGACGCCGTAGGATCGCGTCATGTAAGTGACGCTAAAGGGCGCCTAAAACGTCAAATATTGAAGCATGGTCAAAGGTGACGCCTTGGGGTGAGAATGCGTTGAATATAATAGTTTATATACACAATAATTTACATTTTAGTTTAACCATACTATGTGATCTGGTTATAAAATATATTTTTCAGTGAATGGCGAGACAGAGTCACTCATCAGAAAGTGCGCGATGACTTCTCTCCGTGTGATTGGGTTTTGTGTGCATGTTGATTCCATTGAAAACACTTTGAGATCCGGCTCTTAGAGTGACAGATGCAGCGTTCATGGCCCTCTGTCCCACTAGCTCATCCTCAGAGTCAAAGCCCGTCCTCAGCTTAAGGAAAGGTCCTGACCGCAGTGGATGTGGGTCTGAAGACTTCTGGACATGACACTGGTCAGCTCTGATCGCTGTGGGAACTGTCTGAGTCTGAGTGTCCGATGGAGGAGCTTCATCGTCTCCAACGCTTTAATGCGAGTTCACTAGTTCACACTTACAAATAAGTTCGAATAACTATGCATATTTCGCATGCTGTCCGGGGAGAGGACTCCGAGCTCGAATCTTTGGCCCGAACCCAGAGCAGGCTACTCCTCCTGTATTGCTGGTTAAGAGGTAACCAGGCGAGTGTGAAGTGGAAAATGCTGAAAAACTGTCGAGGAACATTGGTGAGTCAAATGAGAATAGGCTATATAGGTCTCCAACTCAAGCTAATTTGGATAGTCATTTTGATTACCGACAGTTGGTTGGAATGATGTGATAATTGGATGAATTATTTGAACACCCAGTAAACAAATTTAGGTTCTGGGAACGTTAGTTTTTGGTTCCCAGAACGTTCCTAGAACTTTCCCTTGAGGTTAAGGGAACGTTCCCGGAACATTCTCCTTATGTTATAAAAATGGAACCTAAAAATAACCTACATGAAACGTTCCTATAACGTTCTTTTTTGCTTCCCAAAAAAAATTCGGGAACGTTGTAGGGGAACGTTCTGTGTTTGCTGGGCGTGCTCCTCCCGAACTTTGTTAATAAAACATCATTTAATGAGTTTGACACGTTATACTCCATAAAGCTCTGTTGAAGACATTTTGAATAATATAATTATTCAATAATTATTCGCTCGATGCGTTCGAAGGTGCCGTTTCTCACATATATATTTGTTTCTGCAAAAGACATTTTGAATAATATAATTATTCAATAATAATTATCCGGTTCTCTCTATATATTTGTTTGTTTTTTTCAAGACTGTGATTACACGAGGTAAAAACGATATAAATACTATTCGTTTTCTCACACAAACCGCTCGTTTCATGTCTTAGGCCATCAATGTGTACTTACACTTACGAGTTATTAAATCATGTTTAATTTTGACTTCTCTGTGCATGCTCTTTGACGTGGACCCCCTATACCTGCATTATATGACTGACAGACAATGCCGGTTTGACCAAAAAATGTCAAAATTGAAAATACTACGGAAACAAAGACACCAAAGACATCTTGGATGCCCTTGAGGTAAGCTACAACATATCAAAAATTAATTTCAAAGTGAACTATCCCTTTAAGTTCAGCTGCTTGAGACCAGTGGACAGATTACATGATCTGAAAGTGAAAATATCACTATCAGAAGAGAATCTCGGCTGACGGGCACAACGATCTCATCTCTACTAGTGGTCAAGTTCTCCGAGTCTCAGACTGGCCTCGGGCATGTCTATCTTTGTGTAGATAACTGTTTTGGACAAATCAATGATAGACAAACAGATTTCTGTTCCCAACTGAGCGATTAAATCAACCCCGCTTCTTGCTGCCCATTGGCTACTGCCTTTAAACTTCTCAATATACTTCATACCAAGCAAGACATGACATGAAGCCTTGATTTGAAGCTAAAGCACCCAAGGCCAATGATGTTTTCCCCTCTCTTGCTTAGTTTTCATCAGCGCTGTGCCCTTGTTGAGCAGTTTGATTATCTATCAGCCAAAGAGGTCGCTTTGCATGTAAACTATATTCAGTCAAAGATGGAGGAATTCCTTGAATATCAAACATCTTCAACCTATATGCCACTTTCAGGTCATCTGAGGTGAAGATATGCGCTGGTTTGGGTGTACTTGCACTACCAATTTCCAAGTAAAACATAAATTAAAACAGAATGTTTCTTTCCCCAGGCAACTGTTAAAGATTGTCTGCATTTGACACTGAAACTGCAGTGAGATCTGGTTGTGGGCAATTATCCCACGCAAAACACCAATTAAGAAATGAAGCTTGTCACAGGCCAGCAAAATCAAAACAGAAACTAATATTGTTCTTATGGTTATTTTTGCTTTCTGCGCTGTTTATAACTCAACCCGCAGGACGCTGAGGACACGGTCCCATTCCCCGATAAGAAGAAATAACTTTGAGATCCCTTCGTGTTTTGCCTCCTCAAGTGCAAGTGAAGATATTCCTGCCTCCAGCCTTTTTATAATTTAAATCACAATGGACAATTGTACACAATGGGCTTTATCATAACAGGATGATTATGTACGCTGGGCACTGCTTTATCTTAGTGAAACACGGCTACTCGGTTGACCTTTGTCCGGCTGCGCAGGCGTTCGAAGTTGCCGTTTCTCACAAATACACCCTATTCAGTGCCCTTCAGAGTTATTATTATTTTACTTATTCCTTTTTCCACTTTGCAGAAGACTAGCTAATTTCACTCAGGCTGTAATGATCACCTGGCAGCTCTGGAGAGCAACAATATAAATCATTTATGAATATAAATTTTGAGATCGTAAAACTTGGCCAGAGATGTTGCCTTGACCTAGAACACCCTCATTTTAATTCCATTTATATGTATTGAGCTATTAACAATGCATATTGTTGGCAACCCAAACTAACAGCGACTGTGGCAAGAAATGACTTTCTGAAATGTTAACTTTATAAAAGCAAATGAGGATGAAAGTCTCAGGCTGGCATATTTTAAAAGTCACCATGAAATAAAAATTGGCTATTCTTTTTTTTTTTTTAGAATATTGTAGTATTTAATATGAATGATTTATTTGTGCTATTTGAAAAATATCGTGCCTCATCATCTTAAATAAAAATAACTGGCCCTCTCTTTTGCAGGGACTTCTCTTCTAATGACGTGTTTACTAGCGTGAGGGCGGAGCAACCTGTCAATCACATGAGATCCACCAATACCAAACTATCCAATCAATTCCCCATGGACAAATTAAAATCAAGCCCTGCCCAATACTTTAGTTTTCTTGTTCCTTACGCCATCTCACTTGGATATACATAACAATAGAGAA